CTGTTATGTTTAGTCCCATTTTCAAAGAGCCACATATGGCCCCAGAGCCACAGGTTGCAGACCCCTAGTGGAACTAATTTTTAGATTATTGCTGCCCACCACTGGTGGCAGCCCTAATTACCACTGCGCATGCGTGTCAAGGACAGAACGGCAGACGCAGCAGTGGAAGGTGCCGCAACAGTTTGGAGAGAAAAAACAAAGTTAGAAAAAAAAAAAACGACGCATCATCTATTAAATTATCAACGTTTTTCAATAGTCAACAATAATTGTGGCAGCCCTAAACGTCACCAGACTTTTTGTTACGTAAACTGTATTTTTTACCATTAAAGCAGTTTCAGCACTTATGAACTAACATTTCATTTTGTGTCACAGGATGGAAAAATGTCCTCTGGCTTTCAGAAGAAACGACCAATCATGAGCAAGGAGTTCATCAACCAGCACACAGTTGAGCACAACGGAAGATACATCTGCAAGTACTTCCTGGAGGGTCGCTGCATTAAGGTACGTGTTTTTAAGCTTCTTTTTAAAATGCTCATTTACCTGCTTTTCCCTTCCAAGTTCAAGGTTGTGTTTTCTCACAGGGAGAACAGTGCAAGTTTGAGCATGAACTCGTGGTACCGGATAAGAAAAAGGAACTTTGCAAGTTTTACCTTCAAGGATACTGCAGCAAAGGAGATCACTGCATTTACATGCATAATATCCTTCACCAAATGTTATTAAATGCATTTTTTAACGACATTACATAAATAACCTGAAACACACGCCTGTTTCTTTAACCTGTGTTTTGCACATGAATACCCATGCAAGTTCTTTCACACCGGAGCCAAATGTTATCAAGGAGACAACTGTAAATTCTCTCACGATGCTTTGACGGATGTGACCAAAGAGCTGCTTGAAAAGGTAAGAGAGAAACTCAGGAGGGTTCAGTTTTGTGTTTGCCCCAATAGTACGGGATGAATCTTGTGCCAGCAGGAACTGAATTTGAATTGCTCAAATTGAATCTGTATGTGCATAATTTGAATTTGAATGCATTGGTTTGAAAATGAGTTTCACTAAAGTGAAACTGAATTTAATGGTTTGAAACTGAATTTTAAGTTTTTTATCTGAATTAATTTGCTTGAACTCGGTACCACGAGTTCATGCTCTCCTTGGGCTGCTACCTTATCGTGGTGGAGGGGTTTGAGTGTCCCAATGATCCTAGGAGCTATGC